CGCCAGTGTCAGAGTAGAAGGAAAAGCATGACTGGTGTGGAGGCGCCACCACTCATCCCTACAGCCTCAATCAAGTCAACCCCTGTGGCCTCGGTTTCTGAACTGTAAACAGAGACCTGGCTGTGAAGGTTAAATGTTAACAATGCTCAAGGAGCACTTTACCCAGAGCCTGGCACATCACAGGCACTCATACACAGTAGCTATTGTCAGAACCACTGTGGCACCTGCGGTCACACCCTCCTACCTGCCCAGAGAAGGGGGGCTGTGTCAGACACTGCAAAGGCTGCCTGCCCAGTTCTCCCTTCATGGAAGGAGTGGTGGCCCAACTGGTGGGGTCCAGCTGGCAGGCAGCCTTCCCTATCAGGACTGCCCCACCTGCACAAAGCCACTGCTCTCAAGGTTACCCCTTTCTTCGGCGGCCACACCCAAGGGCTAATCCAGGGGGTATGAAGGCCCAGCCATGTCAGCCCAGTCAGACAATCCTCAGGGCTCATCCAGCAGGCCTGCAAGGGAGCTCAGCTTCTCTGCCCACTCCTGCTTTTTTCCCCCTTCTCCACAGTGGGGACCCCAAGAGCACCCTTTAATAAGCGCTCTGCACACTAAACTCTGTCTCAGAGTTCAGCCTCCCTGGAAACCCAGCCTATAACAGGTGGTTTAAGGGAGGAGAGAACCAGCATGAGGAAGGCACATGGAGACCAAGGAGGAGAAGGTGAGGTAGGACTAAATAAAAGGTACGACGCCTCCAGACCTCACCTCTGCAGCAACCACACTGCACTGGGCGGCATCTTCCAAGACCAATACATAGGAAGGCTGGGAACCCAACAACCCAACCCAAGCAGCACCAGCAATCTGTCCTTAGCTCTCTCCTAGACAGAGGAGTGCAGGAGGCGGGCGCAGAAGAGAGAAAGAAACCATTCCTCCCCAGGGCCACGTCTCACTAAACCAGTGTACCATGAGAGGATCTTAGGTGTGATGCAAAAATCTTTAAAGATCATTAATTATTTTTAAAAGCACAGTAAACATATTCTTTTTTTTCACTCTTTTGTTCTTTGATCAACATAATTTAAGTGTGCCATGGAAGTTTATAGGTTCGGGTGTGCCATGAAATTAAAAACATTGAAAAGCAATGCACTAAACCCACAGAGATGGCAGAAAGTGCCAGAAGAATCCTCAGTACAAAACCTGAGGGGTCTCCAAGGTGGGTAGCTCTTCCCACAATGTCAAATACCCAAAGGGACGCTGTTAGTCTGGCAGAAAGGGGCCTGCGCCAACCAATCCAAACATCTACTTTGCTTTGCTTTGCTTTTGACTAGAATTACATCAACTCTCTCACTGGAAGAGCACTGGACCATTAAATATTCCTCCATTTGGAAGTAAAATGCAACCCTTATTTAACAAATGTAGTATGTCGGACAGACAAAATCTTTCAAGTAATACCAGATGTGGGGACAGGAAGAACATCCCTGGTGGACCCCCCTCAGGCTCCAGAGGAGGGAGCTGGGTCCAGGAGGGGCACAGAATCTGCTCAAGGTCCTGCAG